TCACACGAAACAAAGGTGTTGTAGACTAGGTTTCTTTTTCTCCCATCGTACCTACCAACCAGGTTGCCAATGGGCAAACTTTAGGGTAGAGGTCTTCCTTGATAAATGCAGGTGAGTCAACACGGAGATGTGACATGCAAGTACGGGCCTACTTGTGATTGGTGGGGGGTGCAGAGGGCTGAATCATGGACTGTCTGCGGCTGGTCACTCAGTCGGCTCACTCATGCATATTTACAGTAATGGATTGACCCTAGGCTTAGAGTGTAGTGAAGCATGACTGAACGTAATCCCAGAAAATCAGAAGGGAGAGAGTAGGAGTGAGATTTCCAGGATGATCGAGAACTAGCAGCGATTGTAGAAGTTTTAAGATAATCGTCAATGGAGGTTTTTCTGAGGCTGCATGTTGGAAATGCGAGTTACCCGTTCGGTAGGGTGAAGAAAACCAAAAACTCGTGTAACTTCTTCATGCGTTGGCTTCCGCAGCTCGGTGAATTTGAAACAAGGATTATGCGAGGATGGGCAGTGAAGTGAAGCCTTAACCTTTTTAGCGACTCTAAGCCAAAAGTCAGGAAATAAGTAAATGCCTTGAAGCAGATTTCATGTTGGTTATGCAATATTTCCTGTATAACCTTCTAATTATCCAGCGGTTCCGTGCGTTTGAATGAACACGTATTTATCCATGCGTCGGGACCACATGTTAGTACCACCTCTCTGGTGATATTCTAACAAAATAGGGAAAGAGCAAACCTTTCAAGTTGGCTAAGAGGTGCTGTGGAGACCAATGATTGATAAAATTCTTTCAATCTACTGATTGTAAAAATGAGCGCCGACATTCCGTGAGTTGAGACGTTAGCGACACGAAGGTACGGCGGGGCAATGCTCGACTGTTGCGCAGGGCGAGTTTCCCGCCCCACGCTCGAAACTATGGGGAAACACGTAGGCTGCACAATGCGTTTTCTGCTGTTGCTTTATTCCTGCGCAAATTGATACTTTTTTGAGCAGCAAAGGAGTCCACTCACATTTTGTGCCCGATTTTGGCCATTATTTTAAAAGTAACCACTTTACGGTAGGAAACGATGAAAAGTTTACCAGATTTCGTTTAAAGCGGTAGGTGGTTGTGCAGTTTACTTTGCAGCCAATAATTTGACAGGTATGTGTCACAAAGCAGCACTGAAATAACAAATGGCATTGACATTTTGGACGCCAGTTGAGAAGAGGAGCCGTCAAAAGGTGTGAGGAAACACCATGGATGTCAGACCAACGTCCTAAATAGGGTGACAAGATCACCGAGGTGCTGACGTTCATGATGGCTGTCACCTGTGGCAACCTTGCCGACAGGGCAGGAGTGAAGAAGAAGTGGTGGTTTGCAATCATATGGCTTGCTCCCAGAGATGTTGGAAGGGAATGGGAGAGTGTTGGTACGTTCTTTTGGAAAAAGACAAGAACTCATGCCACATTGAAAAGCTGACCTATGAGAAGACCCGGTACCACACATTTGAGTGGGAGAGAGCTAACACCGCTTCCCCAACCTCACCCTCCGCATTTCCTCCAATACCTGCCTTACCACTTTCATTGGACAGTCACTGGCGAACCCGAATAAGCAGCTGGGGACTAAAAGTAGGGTAGAGAGGAAGGTGGTTAGGACCAGGTGAAAAATTCGCGCAAGTTTGTTTGGAGGTGAAAACAGATCTTATATTGCATCAGGGACTAGTTCTGCGGTTACAATGTTTTAAGAAGCTTCAGGTACTTGATTTGGTGTTAGGCGAAATTCAAACGCACCTCCCCGACAAACCAACTTACCGTTGTACTACCATTGAGAGCAGAGTCGGGATTGGTGAATCGTTACATTTTCTTAATAGTCCAACATCAAAAATACACACCAAATAAAGGTCCCAAACCGCAGCATTCATGGAGCCTGACTTTATACAGATTAGTCATAAGACCTTTTAACCATTGGTTGCATTTTCACTATTTGATAGGTGGAACTCTAAACCGACTTCCTCCATTCAATTGACGCCCATAAATCCACACCCTTAGATTGTTGGAATAACAGAGAATTAGGGAAGCACAATAATAATCCTTCTCTTAAAAGTAGCACCTACAATATAACATGAGATGTGGAACGTAGGGGAGATGACACCCGTTCCGACATAATGGCTCTTTCCAAATTGTTCAAGTCTGACGTCACTGTAGAATGGGCTGATTGATGCAAGATTGCATAAACTCTTCCTTTGTAAACCTTGACAGATTCAGCCATTCATAGCATAGAGCTTCCTGTTTTGAAGCTTGCGACCGGTATTTAGACTTTGGACTCAACATTTGGCTCACTTTGACTGGGTCCACCAATACAGACTCCTGAGTTCTCCCAAGGTTGGTGATGAATGCTTGAGTTAGGAAATAAATGGACAGAAGGGATGGTGATCATCTACGGCATGACATCGTCCAGGAGGAAAAAATTGAGCAATCATCTTCATTTGACAAGTTCATCCAGCAACGGAACCCATTATATCCATTTAACCATCAGATTCCTCTATCTTTGTATTCTATTTCAAATATTACTCCCTTTTACTTCACGATTAATCTCGAAATAATCTACTAGCCGACTTGAGGGCAATTTGTCATCATTTATCCCAATCATAAGTCGACCGCGTGGTTCACTCTCAAGATGAAGATTGCGTGTTTGAAATAGTTACTGCCACATCACACACCACCGGAAATAAAAATGCTTTTGTTCCACATTTGACACAAATCAATCAGAGAGGGTAACCCAAGCAACGGCAGTTACAGACTACGAAGCGGGTCTAACAGGCCGATGGTTTAACGGAAAGATAAAACAACTGAAGCCAGACTATTCGGAAATGTTATACCTCAAATCTGCTTTTTTAGTTAAAACTTATCAATCCAGTTTTAATGTTCCAATGAAGTGCACTAATCAAATTTTTACTGTGACATTCTGTGTCTAAAAATAACCCCGAAGGTTCCAGACTTTGGCCCACATTACTGCTAATTTTCGGTAATCTTAAACGCCCCTCCATTCATTTGCCATGTGATGGACTTTGTCCTATGACTTACTATCTGAGCAAATTGTTCTCTTACCTCTGATCTAAACAGTGCCTCTGAGGATCAAATTCCTCATAATCTGTTTTGTGGCGTCAAAGTGCAGAAGGATGGAATGAATTAAGGCAAGAAGAAGCAATGCAGAGAAGGCTCGGTATTTCCCTGGTTCACCTCGGCCTTCATACCAATGGAACGGGGAGACTAGCTAAAGGAGAAGATGTTGCATTGGGTAGCGATAAATTAGAAGGTTCGAGGTATATTTCCTCTCTCCTAAAAGAGGCATTCAACCAACCATGTGCTGGGGCATAAATAGTCGTTCCATTTGTGGGGTCCAACTAAGTGCGAAATGATTAATTCGAGAAACCAAGGCTATAGGAGAAGGCAGACAGTCGAAATTGGGAGCCCAAATGGCAATTTTATTGTTAATAAATCCGACGAAAGAGGCAGAAAAAGACAGCCTTTTTAATTTACATCCATTTAGAAAGTTTGGATGATTGTTTGTTTTGTAAATAAATAAAATAAGTGCTGAATTTCAAAAAAGATACCCGATCCGCCTAGGCAGCTGGCTTCTCTTCGAAATAATCAACAATTTGGAAGTACTGTATTGAAGATTAGTTACCACCGCTTGCAGAGAGCCCAAGACAAATTTTCTGATGCTTTTGAATTTGGGACCAATTTGTTTAAGCACACACTCCTACTATCAATCGTCTGTCTGCCATTTAGTCCGTCCGCCCGGGTGGCGCTCAGCGCGGTCATCTTCGCTCTCGAGCTCGTTCTGCTCACTTATTCTGCCACTAAATCTTTAAACGCTCCTAAAGACTGGATTATGCAACAAAGGAGATTACAGACCAAAGGCCTTTTTGGTAAATCCTGATGTTATTACTGTGGAGATAATATTTCCCCTACTTTGTTAGCTCGACATGGAGAATTACGGAAGCAAAATACGAACCACTGAAGTTTATTTATGGTTACCCATAAACTAATTTTGCCACTACAAGCATCCTTTGTCTACATTGTTGGCTAATCCAGGTGTCGTCTGGCAGCCAATCAATCGGAAGTTGCGGATGGAAATTCGTGTCACGAGCACCGTACTTGCATACTTCAGTAGCCCTTCGTATTTATGTTTTCTAGAGAAAGAGTAGGTCATCGTGAAGAAATTCCGCACCATCGTTGATGTGGTGCGATCATTAAATTCTCCAGTGGACATTGTGATGCATTAATTGTTTGTTCAATTCCCAGTTTTGGTAACGGGCCACTTGGGGGCTCCACCATTGCACCTCAGGTCCAGGCCGGCAGCCGTATGCCCTACCGTACGTCGGGACGCTATTGATAAATTACAAGTATAGATCCCAGTACGCAAAACGAGTTTGCAGTAAATCGTCAAAGTCTGGCGCCTCACATTTACCCAAATGGCGCTACTGTGGCGGTTTGATATATTGTTCACTTGCTCGCCCAACTGCGTGCCCACTTCACTCTTCGAAGGTTGTGCCTCTGCTCTGCGGCATGCTGGTAGTAGTCCTCCAGCCCCTCTGCGCAGTATTAATGTATCGTCCTCCATTTAGGACTCAGGACGCTAACGACAGACGAACTTGGCCCAAAAGTACGGCAGAATACCAAAACTGGACAATACAGAAAAGAACATCTGATGCAGCTGGGTGAACATGCGGAGACGCCTAACGGAAGACCTAAAACGACGTCCAACACTGATACTTACCCGAATCTTTTGTTCCTTAAAAGGGCTGTTAAAAACTAGAGAGACGCCACACGTCGATTGTTTGGGAGGCCAATTATGCAGCTAAGGATGTTTATCAGATGAGGGGGTGGTACCACCACGGCTACTAGCTGAATGGAACCCGGATGGATGGCTCGGCAGCACTGATTTAGTACTGAAATACGAGCCCAGCAACCAAGTAAAATAGGCGCGAAATATTGACTCCGTGAGATTAACTGCTTTTCTTAAACGTCTCTCCTTCTAGGCCAATTTCCTTGACTAGAGAGTGCTCACGTGCAGGAGCACGATCCGGTTGTGTGCCGCAGTCAGCGCATTTTCCTTTTCCCTTCCACAAGAGGGACGTGATTTCAGATACGGCGGTATTCTCGAGACACATAAGCAATTCTGAAGACCAAATGTTCTCGCATGCAAGAATGTTCAATGACTGGTGTTCTCGTTTCTGTGGTTGGTTTTTATAACACTGACTACGTCATGATGGCTGACATGGGAGGTTGGTCGAGGAGACCACCGGAGATGGCAAAGGGTGAAGAGAGCTGTCTGGAGATTTGATCCTGTCCAACCTCTCCTTAAGCTACCTGAGCATATCGGTCTGCTGACCCTTTTCCCACCACTCTGCGGCACGGCCTCTAGGTCATGCTAATAGGCCCCCACCCGATCAGTAAGAAACCCATCCACCATAAAACATCTTTATTGATCATACACCAATGATATCAAAAAACGGAATTTAGTGGTTATAATCAGCTAAATAATACAAATATGTAAGTGGCACACGAGTGGAAGTGGAATGAATAGGCTTTTTCTATGGAAAGATAGGGAGGAGAAGTTTAAAGAAAACAATGATCACGTAGTTTCTGCTTGTTTTACAGTTGCGGCTGTAGCAACAGCGGAGTCGGATTCGCTGGAATACTCCTCGTAACGGAAAATAACACTGAAGAGATCGCCGCCAAGTCGACAGGCTAACCAGGAGTTTTTGATCACCGCCACCTTGAGACAGTCTACACAAAAGCGTGCGTAGAGATTGGTGTGCACGGCTCGGCCCATACCCTCAATCACGATTAGATCCACCTGGAATGGAACAGGACTACCTACAGCACACTTCGTGGAGACCTAGGTGGGTAACTCAGAAATCACATCGGTTGGATAACCTCCATGTCCACCGCCATATAGAGAAAAATTCACGTCTGTGTGTGGGTCAGTTACTATCAGGTGACTAAAAAAGCCCGTGGAAGTGATAACGGCAGCGCGATGAAATTACCTGCTCCGACCTGTAAGGATTCGCAATGTACCTGCAAATGTTTGTATGGAGACAGTATGAATAGTTGTATAAGTCAACCCATTGGTATGAAATTTCTCTACTGTTTTTCCGTATTTTTAACCCCCTCCCCATTATAATAAAATGTCGATTAGAGGAGGCTTCATGAATGTGTTTGCATCTCGTCTGCTTCTCATGATATTCAAAAAGGTGTGGTGTGTGGTGACAGCAAGCACTACTCCGAATTAGAAAGTGCTCACTCATTCGATGGTAGGGATTTTTGATGGTGATGAAGGACCGCATGATGCTATCGACACATCGATTTGGGACTGACGCTCTTGACACCGACCGGTTTACACCAACTAGAACAGTCGTAAGAGTTAAGCAAGCACGCACCCACTCACTTGCATCACCCGATGAGAATAATAAGTCCAGAAAAAAATCCCCTTGTTCTTCATACCTTTCACCATTGGAGTGGAAATCCTTGTGGACGAAACTGTGATGAGAAATGAATCTTGCACTCCAAATATGCGCTTCACTGGCTGTCTCCAAAGGATCTACTTACTGCCCCACCACACACTTTCAAGACACCCACCACCTCGTCCCTACTTGACACAGCGTGAACGAGGGCAAGAAAAACCGTTTCAGAAAGAGCCTGATCTGTGGATCAGTCAAAAGAAAAGCGGAGCCTCATGCTACAAAAATAAGCTATGGATAAGCCTAGTATCGTACATCAGGATAGGAGGAAGGAAGGGAGCTGCTATCACACCTTCACCCTCATTATCCTCCACATCTTCTCAGAAACCTTTCTTGTCGACAGCATTCGACAACCACCTGGGATGTATTATGAGATACTGGAGAATGAAAGTGAGGTGGGAAAGTAGGAATGCGGCTAGGATAAGAGAATTCGTTTCTGGAGGTAAAACAGTAAATTTATGTCCAACTGGGAATGACAGACTGAAAACTGCACAAACTTGATTGGATGCCTTCAATATCGAAAGAATCCGAGACTAGCTCGTCTGGACGATTGAGTTGTATAGGAAGGTAGTGAGCAGGGAAATTGGAACCAAAATGAAACTCTTTTTTCCAACTTCATCCAAGAAAGCCCACATGTGGACTAATTTCTCATTAAAAGTAATCGGCCTAAGAAAGATTCGCTGTAGTGTTCAGCTCCAAGCGACACAACATAGTAGCTGAATCGTATCGAAACCTATGAGATGTAGAAGCCCTTTGGCGTGCCGCGCACTCATCCTGATTGACACCAACTCAGTCGGCCACCGCTGTGATGATCGCTGCGGAGGAATACAAAGCAGAACCTTCAAAGATCACACCCAACGCAAGCTGAGGGATAAGCTGAATGCCATTCCAGTTGACGAACCCAGAATTTCCCGCATTACCATCCACACGCCAGTCGTGCATTGCCCCTATCGTAGGCCATCCATCCTTCTAGCAGTCCAGTCCTTCTCTACTACGTTATACCAAAGTATTATAAGGACACTTTGTGAGTGAGATCCACTAATTTGAACGAATAGAGACCCGAGATTAGCCTACATTAGAAACCTAGCAAAAAATCGTCTGCCCCAAAGGAAGGTTGATTCGAACCCTGAGTGAAAGGATGCAAAACATACAAAAAAATTCGAACGCCACAGAAGTAGCAGAGGAGTCCCAAAAAACTTAGTTCAGTAATTTGAAACTTATACAATGAGTTCCAGCCTCTGGCAGTATCCAGAAAATGAATGACAGATCCACCAAAATCTGCGAGGAAGATTATGCCGAGCACCACACCATTTCCATTCCATCTTTACGGTTGATTTCAAATTATTTGAGTACCGTTGTGATGGCCGGTAGTATGTAACACAGGTACGCCACATTGACGGCACTGCAGTATTCACCCATCCAACATCTTTCCCTCTTGTGGGGAGGAGCAAGATCGTTTCCACTGACGCTTCAAAGAAACCAAAGCATTACCAAAGGTGGGAAGATCTAACCTTCTCTTTTTTCACCAGTTGAACGAGACGATGTGAAGTCTGTCGTAGATCTAAACACGGAGAACTCTGACCATTATCCACACACATCAGTCTGCCATCTTCCAGAGCCCGCTGAAGTCGAGGTTCGAGTCCGGCCACCTCGTTGAGGAGGAAGAGGAGCTCACGATAGGTCACATCGTTGATTGCTGGAACTGGAGGGAGGGAGTAAGAACAAACGATGCTTTGAAGGCCTCATTACACTTCCAAATGGCAACTGGGGCTTCATGAGTTTACGTACGGTGCAATCGTAATTGTTATTCGGTAAGAAGTGCAGCCTATTTTCCTCTTACATTGAGAGTTGATGCCCTCCTCAAGTCCCATTATTAATCTTCACCTTTACTACTTTTAAGGATGGCTCATACCGGAAGGTGTTGATGAAATTGCGTCCACTTCTGGCAAACACTCCAATCTCCTGTTCTACGAAAAAGGTTACTCATAATTAAGGCGACACCCGACTAGAACGTTTGGAACAAAGTGACAAAAACGAATGGAAGGTCAAAGTTATGTGTAAGGACTAAACTTTAGACAAACGTAGAGAGTAGCTGTCACCCACCTTTAGCCTATAAAGTCCGTGATTTCATGCAACGAAGTTCACAGGAAGAGGCCACGAGGAGTACAGAGGGAAGGCCTCCAAAAGTTAAGGTTATCCATTTAACCATAGAGAAAGCCTCGGTCTCCAGATGTCTTAATCATCTTGATGGCAAGATATTGACACCTTACCGACCTTTTCCCCAGAGTTTTACACTTTGGCAATTGACTTCAGAAAGGAATAAGGTCCAACAACTCACCCGAATTTGCAGTCAATATGACCTTGCTGCCCCAGTCTAAGCACTCCACCACAAAAGGCAGAACACCGAGAATTAAATCAGCTCCGCTGTTGTCGCAGAAGATGAGTACACACCGGGGTCGATCTGCCGGATTGCTAATTCGTTCTAGCCATCGTGAGAAGTCATCCACCAACCACGGTCGCGGCTTCAAAGAGAAGGAGAGCGTGATGATTGTAGGCAAACAGCACTCCTCCCACTGGTGGTACTTTTTGTGGTGAACTGTCACCATTGCCACTTTACAATTATCTTCCAATTTTTTTTTTGGATTAGATTATTCAAAAGTGGTGCGTTTGCATTTTGGCTTCGAATGGGTGGGAGGTCAGAAATGCGAAGTGCCGAAGGTCAGAGAATGGGGAAGGTAGGTTAGAATATTACATTGTAAACGCCAAAAAGCGGTGCTCAAGAACAAATTTATCTGCTAATATACTGCCTTTTGTTGCTACCTTTAAATCCACAGAACCAATCGTCTGGACATTAGGGGCGTACCTCTGAAAGGCAAGAATAAACAGTATAGCTCAAGGGAATGGGCATTTCTTCATAGGCAAATGGTTATGCAAAATACGGTTGCCGCGGAACATTGCCTAAACTTCATTCTTCATGATCGGACGTACAGAGCACTCCCTCCTCTGTGGGAGGAGGACTTTTGGCTCCCGCAGTGCGCACACAAGTCAGCAGGGACGAATTTGGACCTTCAACACACATAACTACTCAGGATATGATGGAACGCAGTCACTTTCACTTTCTGGATGACAGCTTATGACAACGTACTCATACGCTGCAAAATAGCTATCAGTGAAAACAGACAGCAATGTCAAGCCAGTGAAAGAGACTATTTCAAGCCATATGACTGGGACAAGTCAGATGGTCTCATTCTTATTGGGATCAAATCGGATTAAGTCATGTGGGTAAGAATGGTCTCTTCAGCAAGTACTCTTCGCGAATTTGCGATCCCTTTAGCAGCGATGAAAACTAGGCCAGTTCAGCCTTCCAGGACCTTTTAAACCATCTACATCCACACATTAGAGGAAATTTTCGAGTTCTAAATCAAGAGAGATGTAAGGTTCCCTTTGCTCACAGCCTGCACAATCCAGGGTAGATGACTGAAAATAGTCATAAGCATGGTAGCCGTCTGGGCATCCAATTTGAACACAATGGACAAGGTTAACAGGGTTGACAACAACTGTGCCAATTGCGAACATGTTCTTACTTCAGTTTATAAACAGGACTCATTTCCCAATTTTCATTCAACTACAACTTTCTTATTTAATAGTTGTTGTACCCCGGATGCCAGACATTCCACAATTAAGAGACGACAGCACAAAAAGCGGCAAAGGTAGCACAAATCCTACTAGGCACATGCTCAGTGTCATCCAAAGGTGCCCAAGCCACACACACACAGCCGACAGCAGCATCATCATCAGAAGTGGTGAGCATATCATCAGTGCCACCGTTACCACTGAAGCCGTGTGCTTGCCCTAATTGCATGAATCAGGTGATGGAGAATGGAATGACATTTATTGGGATTGGTCAAGGTGAAGTTGAATCTCACATATTTACAAGGACAAAAAAACTTCTTCAACTCATCACCCACCCATATTGAGAATTAACGTAGGAATTGGCACCTGTCACCATCAATTCGTACGTTTTAATAAATTATTTCGAACTGTATGCGGAGCGGCTCAGCGATTAACCAATAAACTTGAGAGAGAAGAACAGGAATTAATCAAATCACTGATCCATGTTCATGCGAACATATGTTAAACAAAGAGCAATTTTTTTTATGAATTCAACAAAAATTAAGCAAATGATCAGGATTTGCCAAATCGGTGTATTACTAAATATAATCTGTTACAATTCCAATTCATCTATATTTTCTCAAATTAATAAGTGGTAACACCTATACCAATTCCAAAGCAAAACTTACTAGCATAACATTTCACAAGCAAACCATCAATCTTAGGTCATTAAATTGTCAACCATGTTGATGCATTGAAAGTAAGCAGAAGTGAAATGAAGACAGCAGAATCGTACAAATACTTAATATGGTCATCTTGTCAATTGGCCACATGACTAAACCAATCAGATCCAAGAATCAACCACAAATTGCACTCGAGGGAACCCGAAAGGGAGGATGTGAATGATAGAGGGGTCTGTTGTGAGGCGACGACAACTCAGAACATCCATCTGGCCAGAAAACCATCGCCAAACAAGTCACAAGGAGAGACCTACGCTTAAAATCTATCACTTGAAAAAGAAATAGCGAAGCGCTTTGGTGCTGAAGAGAAAGACAATACATCTATCAACAGATACGTCAAATGAAATGAACTACTCCAGAGATCACACTACCTGGAATCTTCAACTATTCACTCAGAAACGACCCACAAGCGGATGGAGACATGACAGCATGCAACTATCATACAAAACCGAGATCATAGAACGAACCTGCAGCTTAGCGAGGGCCTGCTCAAAGCTCGCCATGCCTTCGACAGAGTCCTGAGACTGTGTGAAAAAGCAAACCGCTTCGGATGCGCCCCAATCAAAGATGTTGCCCGTGAGGAAGCCTTGTGCCAGCTCCATTTGTCGCTCCGTCCAGGCCAGTCGACCCAGGCGTTCCATTATGCTGGGAAAGTAGGTGAGGGACCACGTATTCTCCAACTGTGCGAAGTTCAAACGATTAAAAAGTGCACGGAGAACGCAAACTTGCAAGTGGGAACGCAGCACCACCTGCACTTAGAGACGCTAAAGAAAATACCAGTCTTAAGGAACGAAGTGGGTCCAGGTTCATATGGGTCCTACACTCGCATAGTAACAAATGGCACTACACATCGTAGAAAGTAACAAGTCTGTCCTTCTAATAATGATCGACGTTCATGTCATGGACTAGTCCAATCCAGCAAAACAATGGTGTCAACCTGTGTGCGCATGCAGCAGCCTGAAATGCTGAAAAATCTCCTATCAACCGAGGCCTTAGATACCCTCCCAGAAGACTTGCAGCACAGCACGGTACAGTGATGTGACACTTAGCTCCTCAGAGCAAGATGATAGAATTTTTCTACTTTTCAAAGCCATCAAAGACCCCACTTCAGTGAACATCCTGACTACGATGGCTCCACCATCAAGACAGAAATTCCCGACAGCACTTATTCAACATGTAAAAATCCTGATCCTGGATGTCTCATCAATGCCCATCACATCTACCGAGGCAACGATTGGCCTTGGCTAGACGGTTAAAGCACCGTTGTGACTCACACAAGTTAACGCCTACCCTACCTCTGCATCGGCTGTCTGCCAAAGCACGTATTTCACACGGCATCATCAACTCACGGGATATGAAGCAACCACGCTCCAGATGAGCTGGTTCCTACCAATCTTTGCTAGCCGTCTGATCTGGTTTCCACTCGATTCGCCAACGATGATTGCATCATCGGTCTCCTGCGAGACCGGTTACTCACCTGTCAAACACACCACACGATGAAGTATATCAATACGGTTTTCTACTTGACTTGTTTTGATAACCAGTTTTATGTTCCGCCTCTATGATGCGCTAAAGTTGGCAAGGCCGTCAATGGTGTTAAACCAAGCGATCTTCACGTAACACCTACAGACTGCCACAGACAAATCTTACAATACTAAAACATCCTGTATGCTGGTAAATAAATGGGACTGTGAGAAAAAAAGTAGTACCAACTTGCATTATTTGAGGTGCGTTCTTTTCGTTTGTAAACGAAATCAAGGCCAAATGCACAAAAATAGGATAAATATGTCAATTTTCGACAAACAATTACCTTTTTCTGTACACAGAAGGCGTCTGGAAACCCAAACTCCCGAAGAAGGTGCTGTTGCGCCTCAAGAATGCTTCGTACAGTGAGTAGCCCACGTCCACTCGGTCTAACATTGAGTTCGGTCAAAAAGTTGACATAGCGATTCGCAAAAAGCTGAGCACGCTCCTTTGAATCCCCTGCAGTCGACTTTTCTGCCTGACTTTCTTCCGCCTTCTTTCGCAACCGCTCTACACCTTGCTAGAGAAGAAGAAAAGCATAATCAGACCTCATTATGGAGCGATCCACACTTCCCATCGCTCTTAACCAGCTGGTTCTTTCACCTTAAAACACTCCAACCAATAAGCCCGAGCTTTGCAATCCTGAGTCAGATCCCACGTATCCGGGACGTAGTCAGCTGGAGAAAGGAGCAAAGGAAACGGCTCTAGAGACATATCGCCCAGATGTTCAAGTTCAAAATCGGACAGAGTAAGCCCATCGGTGCTGGAGGAGGGAGGCATGGAGCTGCGGGCGATGAGCGAAGTTGCATAGCTCTCCGACCAACATTTGGACGAGTGCTGTTGCTGTTTTTGAGGCACCTGATTGTTTGGTGACTGCGCTGCTGATGCCTCCCCTGTCCCCACGCCGTTGTATTGAGCGAATGTGGGAGGTTGAGAGGCCTTCATAAAGGCACCTACGGCACCAAGATAACCTTCGTGTCGCAGAAACATCGCTTTAAGTGCACCATTGGACCAGTAGTTCACGGCAAAGGAGATAACCTATAGAGACGGTAACTGCTAACAATGAGCCGTCTACTGGAAGATGTTTTTTAACCACTTTTGAAACGTGCCTCCATAGTGAGTCGATGACCGCGAATGAAGAAACCACCGAAGAGGATCCGTCGAACACCATTTTGAAGAGCATAAAGACACGCCAATTGACCAATGTTGCTAATAATAAGAAAAAATGATTGGATAAAAAAGTGGCCAATAGTCCTTACACCGACTACGGTGGAGGTAAATTCAGTCCCTCAGAGATTCGAAGCCTTAGACAATTACCGTTCGCATAAACATCGACAAGTGGTCAAAAATTACCGCAGAGGACATCATCCATCTGTCTGCATGGAGTTGTTTGTGGAGGCGGGTACTGTGATCAAGTGAGACTATCAAGTTAAGTTAAAATTTCTGAGATATTAGGGACCTAAATCAATCTTGTAATCCAATTGACAGCTGACAAGAGAAGTAAGCGATGAGGATGAGGATATGCGTTGAACTATAAAAGAGGCTACTATGGAACACTAGGAGAAAAAGCATTCATTTGTTAGGCGCTGAGAGGATGGAAGAGTGCTTTGATGGAGACTCATTCCTGAATCTTAGAAATGAAAGTGAGCGGACCGATGGAGTCCGAGCGAAGAAGACGGACAGACGAAGCAAGAGTGGGAAAAAACAGGCGGATCTAGAAAAAATGGTTAAATAAACATAAGGTGGCCGGGAGAATGAATCAAAAGCATCGAACAAATGGATTCCAACTGGATGAAAAAACGAAGAATGGATGGGTGGATCGATAGCACAACAAAGGATGATGAATAAATGGATAGACGGAGGGACTGGGTATGAAGGGGCCAACAGGCGCTGATAACACCGTGTATAAATACAATCACACAATAAGAGAGAAATAACCGACCCACTCACTTGCTAATGGCCACCAGCAACGCTTTGACCATATCCGCTGGCCTCCGTGTCTCGTTAGGTCGCCGTGCGGCCAAACCGAAGGAGCTGGCGATTACATCGGCCGCCAGGCCCAGTGACTCGTAAGCTCCGCCATAAATGTCCTTCACAAGCATATCCACCTGTCGATGATCGCCCTTGTCCGCTAACTCCAGCAACTCGTCGAAAGACATCTGACCTGTCAGACAAGGAGGCGAAAGCTTGCGAAATTTCAATGAATTTTGAAACCAACTTTTGTTTAATCTAGGACAGGAGTAGCACTCGCATGTTCCGCATTTTCAGCATTTAAATAAAAGGCTGCATATCCTATGTTCTTAAGAAATCGTTTTAAATCCATTTTCCTTTCTCCATTTTGTTTCCTCCAAAAAAGTCTGAAATTGTAAGATTAAGATAGAAATGTGCATTTTGCAATCCTATCGTTCTAACTTCGAGTTTTGTCCTAATTTTGTTTGGGTCCATTTCATCCCAGACTTAAATAAGATACTGATTATAAGACTCCTTCAAATCCATTTAAGACTATTTTTATCCTGGGATTTTTAAAGAAACTACCACCCTCCAAAATCTCTATCTTAGTGCCTCTCAAAAAACACGTCTTAATAGAATTCAAGTAGAACTTTCACCCAAGCAAGGTTACCACTTCCAAATCCAAGAGCATTTCGTCTGGGCTTCAAACGACAAATCTCCACACCAAAGTACTCCTGATCTACCAAAGCT